GGGAACACTGTTTGGGCCAATCTTTTTTATATATATTATACACACACACACACATACACATGTATTTTATGTATACTAAAGTATATCTTCTATACTTTAGTAGACTATAAAAATTCACATTATCTTGTTGAAATATAAATCATATAAAAAATATGTCATATTAAAAAACATTCTTTTTAATTCTCTTTAACATTCTCTTTAACATTCTTAAAAAAGAATGTTTTTTAATATGACTTATATTTTTTATATGATTTAAAGATTCTTTTTAAAGAATGTTTCAGTCCCATTTCTGGTACAAACAACTGTGTCTTTTTGAGCTTATATTTGCTCTCCGTTTAGGGGAAAGAGGAAGTAAAACTTGAAATTAAAAAAGTCAATCAATCCAGGGCTAGGCCACGTGTGCTGGTATTGGACTCTTGCTAGAGTAGTCATTCATATCTTTAAGAGAAGTATGAGTTTATTTGGAAAAGTTATCAGTCTACAGAACACACATATGAGCCATGTGTACAAGTGAAAGATACTGATATTATAATAGAAAGTTCAAAAATTTTACCTGGCTGCTTAGACAGAAGACTAGAAGAAAACATATCAAAATGTCGAGTAGTTATCTCCAAGTATAGAGACTATGGATGGTTTTAACAATTTTTATTTATCTAGCTTTCTGATTTTCCTTCAGTGACCGCTATTTATTTATTATGTAAAAACAAACAAAAAAATCACATCATTCACCATGGTGAGGAGGTGGAAAGGCTAACAGGATAAACCAGGCACAAGCCAGGCGGGAGCAGAAGCCTCAGAGCAGCTCCTTACTCTGAACAGAAATGGGTCTGGCCCCAAGAGGTAGAAGGAGCATGGGGAATGCTGACATCCACTGGCTTCCCTGCAAGTAAGAGCAGGTACCCATTAGTCCAACACTGTACTGCCCTTTCAACTATGAAAAGTATCGCCTTGTGGTCAGCCCCACCTGTGCAATCAGACTGCCCAGCTAGGACACTGTGCTAGATCACTTACTGGGCGTGTAACCCTGAACAAGTCAATTAGTCTCCCTGTTCTTGTTTTCTCACCTATAAAATAGGAATCACATCACCGCCTACCTCCTAGTGTGGCTATGTGGATTCAGACAGATGAGTCACTCCAAGGGCCCAGCATACAATAAGAGCACAATAAAGGTAAGCCATTATTAGGTCTCTATTGTGAACACTAGCCCTCAAGTACTCTCTCAAAACCACGTGACTGGGTCCCAAAACAACCAGAAAAGGGTCCAAAGAATAAAGCCTTTCTATTTCTTTCTTCTCTGCCGAAGGCACGACTGAAGCATAGTGTTTGCTCTAAGACCAGTGCTCTAGGGAGTGATGGAAAAACAAGAGCAGCCCAGTAGAGTATGTAACATGTCCCAAAGCCCCACACTGTGGACCCGAAATCCCATTTTCAAAGTTAAAGGATTTCTTGTCTCTTGCCACTGCCATGGCAGCCAGCCACTGCCTTTGGCAAAGAGGTGAGTGACTCAAGTGTGAACTAGGACTTGGCAAGGGGACATGAAACCAGAAGGCCTCCAGGCAGGAAGCTCCAAAAGGCCACCTGCTGAAACAGTTTGTCTACAGGCAGCCTTTGAGGTGGACCTAGTGCTCTGCTGTCATTAGCACATTCAGATAAGAACAGTGGACATTTCAAACATCCAACAGAACTTACCACCCTTTCAAAGTTTTTTCATAACTTTCAAAAAAAAAAAAAAATACAGGGAGAGACCCAGGCTGAAGATATGATCACACACTTGAAGATCACTGTAGTGCCTTAACTATATGACATTAAAGAACACCCCCCCCAAAAAAAAAAAGCCGTATTAAATCAAATTGCCAAGAGTTTCACGGCTATCTTGAGCCAAAATTCATTACATTTGTATGTAACAAAACTTTCCTTCCCAAACTTGAAATTATCTCACTTTACCAAAGATATAAATAAACCTCTTAATGTCCGTCTGTGAGGAAATAATTACATTATTATATTAACGACATAGCTGAGTGTGTTCTATGCTGCATAGGGTGACCAATGTCTCCCAATCTGCCTGAAATGTTGCCAGTTTTACCACATGCTGGGAAACCCATCAGGCCTGCACAAACCAGGATGGTTGGTCCCCCTAACACTGCAAGAAAAATGATGAATGTTTTGTGAAGAAGAAAACAGAAGAAACACAGTTACAAATGCAGAAGTGCTAAATGCCAAATTTGTTTGTTTGTAGCAATAGCTTCTAGTTCCTTTTCATAGCAAAAAAAAACACTAAAAACCACACTGGCCTATTCCTTTTCTCTTTCTTTTTACTATCCTAAACAGAGTTGGGAAAAGGCATTTTCCTTCTTTAGCAAGATTGAGAGGTCACTGCAGGATTGACTGTTGAAGTGGTGAACACCTCACCTAGCAAGCTCCTGTACCGAGCATTAGCAGGACAGAAAATGTCATCATCACCCCTTACTTGGCCACATGTAAAGACAAACCAAGACAACTTGTGATTCAGGTTATCAACAGTAAGGATATGTCCTCAAACTAAAATTCCTAGCAAAAATCAAGATTCACCTCACAAATATGGCATTTAAGAGATGAGGGAGGAACTAAGAAATGATTGTTTTACAAATAGCTTCCTGGAGAACAAGGCACTCCTGTACAAACTCCAAGGCACAAAGCTCCCTACCTACAATGATGGAGCAAAACTTTTCTAGAAGGGGTCTAAGTAAATGGTTTTTAAAGTGAGTCAGTGAGGTTGGGAGCTGACTTCTAAGAATTGAAAGTTTCAGATAGAAAAGGTAAGACTATATAAGGCAAGAAAGACCACACACTTCCTGGACCTAAAACTACAAATCATCACTCACCACCCCACCCTACCCCACCCAGACCACCTCCCCACCCAGTCTCCCTCTGACTCTGCCCCAAGATAGACTGGCAATTTTTAGATGCTCTTGAATCTTAAAACTTCTTCAGTTCTATACTCCTGACACATACTCCTTCGGTATATATCAGGAGATGGAACCAAATAAAGGTTGTGTGGCTTTCTCTCCATAGTCATACTAGTTTATTGGGGGAAGAAAAAGATGGAAGGGGGTGTATGTAGAAACATTTTAAAAGGCAAAAATCTTTGAAAGCTCTACTCTAGTAAGCCCTGAAGAATAACTTTCTTTCCAAGACTAAGGAATACACTTTTCACTAGGGTTGTTCTTGATTTAGGAAAGGAGGCCTTCTTGTAACGACCTTTTAACACATCCAGTGAGAAGATGGAGCTATCTTACACAACCTCTTTCAGAGAGCCCAGGAGCCTGGAAGGCAAAACACAGGAGCTAGCCCCAGCTCTAAAGCCCCAGGGCCATGATCCTTGGGGAAGACTTGCTTCACCTCTCCAGATCTGTTCCCTCACTTAGAAAATGAAGGGGCTAGTTCATCTTTAGGATCCTTACAACTCTGAAATTCTATGTACCATTCTTTCATATATATGTTAACAATAATGCCCATTAGAACCATTTTTTGTATTTTAAAGATTTAGGAATTAACAGCCAAGTATAATAACATGTACCAGCCAAGATGACAAGACAAAGATACACTGAAACTGTTATGATCTAAAATCAGCAAATGTCTAACAGTTGGCAAAGTACATGACCAAAAGGTGAAGGAAATCCTAATATCAACTTACAAACACTTTTAAATGCTCTGGGACCAATGAGAACAAGTAGATTCATCACAATTACCAGCTGCTCTTCCAGCTAAATTTAATAATTACATGAGTTTTAACTCAGTGATTCCTCCTCCCCCCTACAAAAAAAAAAAAAAGCCGATAAATAGAAAAGACAAGCTGAAAATTTGAATCTAAAAGGCAGGAGAACAAATTGTTGCAAATCATTGTGGTGATGGATTGCATTTAAGTTGTAGGATGTTCTGGCTGGATACTAAGTGGAGAAAGCGAGGCACCAGATACAACCCACTCGACAAGTTTGAGATGTTTAATACCAAGGGCTGGCACAGTCGACCCCGAGTGTCAAAGTTAAGACTGCTTCTCTGCCTTCCAAGATCCTAACATTATGTCCATTTTACCACCCATGAATAAAAGGGTGGGTGGTGAGGAGTGGGGGAGGCTGTTTCCATTTTTCGTGTAAAGAGCTGCAAAGAGTTTTGTCATGCAACTCAGACGGGCTTCTGTGAGTGCCAATGTCCTAAGAGCAGCAGAGTCCGCAAAGGTGGGGTGTTTCCACTCCGCAGACCTGCAGCAGGGGACTGTCACTCCGATTCAGCACCCCACCCCACCGCTCCAAGCCAGGACTCCAGAGCTGCCCTGCGTGGTGTCTCAGCAAGGAAAGCAACAAAGCTGATGGACGCAGGCAGACGGCAGCCCGCCGCCTGTGAGTGGAACCTCCGACCTGACTTCACCTCCTCCTGGCAGACACCGGCCAGAGCCCAGAGCGCGGTCTGCAGGGTCCCCGTCCCGCACTACGCACACGGCCTCAGGGCTGCTAAAGAGGAAGTCGGGATGTCAGATCAAACGGATAAAGACAGCCCGACCACGGGAGCCGCGTTCTGGGCCGGGCGGCTGCCTGGCTTGGGGAGGGGTCGCAGGCTGCGATCCTTTCTCCCTCTGCGTCCACCTTCCTCCCCGCGGCAGGCGCGGGCTGGCGGCGCCCACGCTGCGCAGCGGGCAGGAGCCCGAGCAGCCCCGCGCCTCCCCTCCCCCGGCCCGGCCGGGCCCCCAACGGCGCACCCCCGCGCGCACACCGCACGCCGGCGCCCCGGGCCCTGCCCCGCGCCCGCGCCCAGCGCGCAGTTCCGACGGCCCGGGGCGGGAGGAGAGCCGCGGGAGGAGAGCCGCGGGAGGAGAGCCGCCGCCGCCGGCTCTCCGCGGCACCGGCGGCCGCACACACTCCTCCCCTCGGCGGCGAGTAAACAGCTCGCGGGCGCGCCCCCATCCCCCGCCGGCTCCGCGCGCCCCGCGCCCGCGCGTCCCGCCCGCCGGCGCCGCCGCCCCCTACCTGGTCGGTGAGTTTGAGCACTGCCATTCTTCCGCTGCTTCGCGCGCACGCACATACAGGTCCCGCGTCCGCAGATGTCACGCCGGGAGCCGGGGAAGCGGAAGGGATTGCCGAGGGAAGGGGGAAATCTGGCTCCCGAATTTGACAGCCCTCCCCCTGCTCCTCCTCCGCCGCCGCCTCCTCCGTCGAGAGGCTGACACTGGCTAGTGGGGCTTGCGGCCGAGCCCGCCCGCCTTTCTACAGGAAGTACCGGCTGCTGCCACCGGCCGCATGATCAACCGCGCGCTGGCTCGCTCGCGGCCGCGCCGCCCGGGCCGACGCTGCCTCCTGCCGCCGCAGCCGCGCCGCGCAGCCGCGCCCGGCGCCCGCACGCCCGCACCGCGCCGCCGTGGGCCAGACCGCCGCCGCTCCCGCACCTGCACGCTGCGCCCGCCAGCCCGCCCGGCCGGGGCTGCAGTGCCAGCACCTGACGGGCCAGCCCTGCGGACACACCCCGAGGGGGCGAGAAAGGCTGCCACTCACGCGCCACCAACTTCACCCGGGAGGCTGGGTCACTCCCCCTTCCCCTAATCCGGGATCAGACTGCTGCAGCGCTCCGACGACCCCACCTCGGTCAGGGACCACAGTTGTGATGCTCTCTTTGTTTAAGGCGGGGAGGCCCAGCACACACTGTGAGTCTTTAGCGATTTGGGGCTGGGGAACAGGGACTCCGACCCTGCCTTGCACATTGTTCTCCAGCCCCTTTCCAGCTAAACACCCCCCGCCTCCCCCCACACGCACACACGCACCATTGTTAAGTTCAAACACCTGGGTGTGGGTTTTGGCGGGTGAAGGTGGAGCAGAGTTACTGGAGGAGCAAAACGTCCTAAATTACCGCAGTGAAGGGCTTTTGAGCGTATTCACCAGTCCTGACTGATTCATTTCTACAAAATCCCAAGCTACCCTGCTCTTCAAGAGAGGAAAGACAGCTGTCACCGACCATGGGATGCAAACACAATAGTAATATTCATAATCGTAGTAAGTGTTAATATTTCTGGAATTTGGAGCGCTTATTCATTCAACAACTATGTACTGAGTGCCTACCTTGTACCAGGCGCTGACTGCGCGCGGGAATAAACAGAGAGCATAAACAGGTGAGATACCTACTCTCAGATGATGCCAGCATAAACCACATACTGCTAATGAATGTAATTACAAACTGAGATAAGGGATCACAGGGGGAAACATGCTTCTGAAGGAGCCCTTGACAAAGAGATCAGACCAGACTGGTGGGTGAGGACAGGCCTCCCTGAGAAAGTGAGGGAGTTGAGATTTGGAGGAGGAGGAGGAGTTAAGTAGGCCAAGTGGGAGAGGAAGTGCCCCAGACAGCCCCACGTGCCCCTGGCAGGCCATAGCACACACCTGCAGGGCAGCAGTGAACAGCACTGAAGAACAACTAGAGCTACAGAGTTCCTGAGTCAAGACCAAACATCTGCCTCTACTGTTCACTCACAAACTGAATGTGCATTCTTCCTTCCTACGTTCAGAGCCTCCCCCATGATTCCACATGAGACTGGAGAGAAAGCAGTAGTAGTATTTACTTAGCATCTTTGCATTTATCATCCAACCACTCTGGTTGGTGAAGCAGCTAAATCTCAAATATACTTTTATTAGTCCTATAGATTATGATTCAGATCAAAGACGCTTACTCCTGGCTTCCACTCCTCTGTTATAAGTGTTGCATGGGGGAAAAAATTCGTTCCAAGACCTCTCTCAAACACAAAACTGATTGTTTATGGTGCACCTATATATGAGGCAGTTCTTCACTGCTCTTGCTGGTATGTCTATTTACCAATATCATCCTGCATGGCTTTGCAAGTTAACTGAATTCTCTACTTAAATATAGCTATATTTCAGAAGAGTGATAACAAATGACTTAACTTGGAGCATTCACTCAAGATCCACTCTGCTTCCCCGTGGTCATGCCTGCAGATAAGTTTTTGGCGCCAGATTTAAAAAAGGAGGGAGCAGTCCTCAACCCAATCAGACCATCATCCCCTTTTTGTAGCTAGTATTTTTAACACTCCCCTTACTATCCTGAAAAGTAATTTATAGATAATATTACCTATCTATACAAATTTCAAAAAAAATCAACCTAATACTCTAATTGTATAATAAAGGAGAAATTAAAGAAAGTAATTTATAATTAAATGTATTTCAATAGGTAAATGGTATAGCACAACACTCTTAGAAAAAATAAAACAGTAAGATACTTGCACCTATATATAAAAGTATTGTGAATGAGAGAACTACAAATGAAAACCAATATGAAGTGTAGTCTTAGCAACTCAAATATCAAGATTGGTGTTGTCATAGGTTATGTGATTTTGGAGAAAATTGACCTCTTGGTTCAGTTCCAGACACAATAAGGAGCAAATGATTGAACTAAATTTATTGACATGGATGCATTTGCCAGAAAGTCTGGATTTAATGTGTTAGCCCATACACTGAAAGTTACTAAATTCGTTTAGTTGGTTAAATGAAACCCAGACTCTGAAGTGGTCTATATGCCATGAGTTTGAGATATCAGAACGTGCCTGGCATAATGTAGAGAAAGAAATCCAAAGAAGAAATCCCAATGTTTATGGAGATAGAAATGGTGGAATGATTTTATCCTGTGTAATCTGTACAACCAACCCCAAACTACACACCCCTGGAGGGCCCAGATGATGGTCTTTACACTGAGGCATTGAAAAACACATTAGTGATGGGAACACCAGAAAAACTCTGTGGTAGCTGGATGTGATAATGGGAGTTGCTTTCATTGAGATAGCTTCCTGATTTCCATAATTGTGGGATCCCAGATGGCAGTGGCCAAGAGGCAGTGTTTAACTGGCAGAGGCAAGGTGGACACATTACTATCATGGGCGACAAAGTAGTACTCAAAGGTCTTGGCCTATAGGGAGATTGGCAGTATCCTAGGTGGTCCTAGGAATGAAATAAATGGTCAGACTTCTGAAATAGCCCTCGATCTTTATAACAGGGAAAATTGTTTGGGTGTCTGCCACCTGAAACCTGACTTGAGCCATCAAAATGAGAAACCATCCTTCCCATCAAGTTCCCATACCTAAGCCAGTTCATGGACACAGAGCCCCTTGATAAAAATGGAAGCTGGTCTCCTATAGGAGGGCCTTGCAGCATTGCCATAAATATATACTATAAATCCTCACTCAAGCTTCCCCCAAAGGAACCTGATGTTGTTAGCTAGGCTAACTCAACCTGGGGAAAAAAGGAAATACCCAGACATTTCAGGAATCACTCACTCAACACTGCTTCTGAATTTATGCTAATTCCTGGGAATAAAAAAAAAAAACAAAAAAGGCCGGGCGCTGTGGCTCACGCCTGTAATCCTAGCTCTCTGGGAGGCCGAGGCGGGCGGATTGCTCAAGGTCAGGAGTTCAAAACCAGCCTGAGCAAGAGCGAGACCCCGTCTCTACTATAAATAGAAAGAAATTAATTGGCCAACTGATATATATATAAAAAATTAGCCGGGCATGGTGGCGCATGCCTGTAGTCCCAGCTACTCGGGAGGCTGAGGCAGAAGGATCACTCAAGCCCAGGAGTTTGAGGTTGCTGTGAGCTAGGCTGAGGCCACGGCACTCACTCTAGCCTGGACAACAAAGTGAGACTCTGTCTCAAAAAAAAAAAAAAAAAAATCCACTGGATCTACCAATCAAAGTGGAGATTTATAGTAGTCAGGTGATAAATGGAATTTTCAACCAAATATAACTCACTGTGGCTCCAGTATCTCTACAGGCCCAAACTACAGTTATTTCCTGAATTCTTGAATGTATAATTAGAATAGACATACTCAAATACTAGCACAATCCCCACATCACTTCTCTGACCCACAAAATGAAGGCTGTTGTGGTAGTTCCAGCCAAGTGAAAGACTCTGGAATTTCCTCATGCTACCAGAATAGAAAACCAAAAGCAAGGCCAGGCGTGGTGGCTCACGCCTATAATCCTAGCACTCTGGGAGACCGGAGTTCGAAACCAGCCTGAGCAAGAGTGAGACCACGTCTCTACTGAAAATAGAAAGAAATTAATTGGCCAACTAAAAATATATAGAAAAAAAATTAGCTGGGCATGGTGGCACGTGCCTGTAGTCTCAGCTACCTGGGAGGCTGAGGCAGGAGGATTGCTTGAGACCAGGAGTTTGAGGTTGCTGTGAGCTAGGCTGACACCACAGCACTCTAGCCCGGGCAACAGAGTGAGACTCTGTCTCAAAAAAAAAAAAAAAAAGAAAAAAGAAAAGAAAAGAAACCAAAAGCAATACTGCATTCATGGAGATATGTAGAAATTAGTACCACCATAAAAGATGTGGAAGATGCAGGAGTGGTGGTGCTGTCACATCCCCGTTTACTCACTTGCTTGGCCTATGCAGAAGGCAGATGGATCTTAGAGAATAACGACAAATTGTTGTAAACTTAATCAGGTGTTAATGCCAGTTGTGACTGCTGTTCTATACGTGCTACCCTTGGGATGCATCTGTTTTCTATTGATATGGCAAATGCTTTTTCATCTATTCCAATTTGCATCAAAAGTTATTTTGTTTTATATGGCAAAGCCAACAGTGCACCTTTATATTCTTGTCTGTGGGATGTAAACTCTCCCCCTCTCTGCCATAATCTCATCTGTAGAGACCTTGATCACTCTATGAAAGACATCAAGCTGATTAGATGCCTTAACAACATATGTGAGCCAGAGGGTGGACTATAAACCCCAAGAAAATTAATCACCTTAGTGAAGTTTCTAGAGGTCCAGTGATCTGGAAGCTGTCAAGATATCCCCTCCAAAGTAAAAAACAAATTGCTGCACCTGGCATCACCTATCACTAAAAAAAGAGACATAATATTTGTTGGGCCTCTTTGGATTTTGGAGGCAATATATACCACATTAGAGCATGGTGCTCTGACCCACTTACTAAATAACTCATAAGGCTGACATTTTTTTTAGTAATAATAGAAAAAGAAGAGGCTGAGCACAGTGGCTCAACCCTGTAATTCTATCTCTCTAGGAGGTTGAGGCGGGAGGATCGCTCAAGGTCAGGAGTTCGAAACCAGACCAAGCAAGAGCAAGACCCCCGTCTCTACTAAAAATTAGAAAGAAATTAATTTGCCAACTACAAATATATAGAAAAATTAGCTGGGCACGGTGGCGCATGCCTGTAGTCCCAGCTACTCTAGAGGCTGAGGCAGAAGGATC